GGTTATCGGGCTGGCAAAGGCAACCGCTCACCACGACAAGAGGAGTAATGGTAATTCCTGCATGTTGAAGAGTAGATTAGGAAAACTTGATGTGATTCTGTTACCGTGTTCACTGACGGGAGGTTGGTGAAAGCAGCAGCTTAAGTTCTTCTCTGGGTGTGATGTCAGGGTCGATGCGGTTGGTAGTCCGTATTCCACAGCCGAAGAAAGCTTAGCCGGCAAGTGCACATGCCCGGAGTCGATCACGGACGAAAGCTCTATCGGCATCATCGGCGCAGCAGGTGTGGTTATCGGGCTGGCAAAGGCAACCGCTGACCATGACAGCAGGAGTAATGGTAATTCCTGCATGTTGAACAGTAGATTAGGAAAACTTGATGTGATGCTGTTCCCGTGTCCACTCAATAAATAGATAGATATGCTCAAAGTCGCTGAAGTTCGCTAAAAAATGCTTCGCATTCCAGACAGCACAACAATCAACCTGACGTCACTGCAGTGTTAAAATGGTGACTGAGTGGCGGTGCTGACGTGTTCTCACGCGGTGTTTCCTTGATAACCGGCACCAACGTCCTACATGCGCTTCAAACGCCACGCGCGTTCCCTTAGCCCCTTTTATTTAAGCTGCTGTCACGCGCTCTGCACTGTCTTCATGCCACGGCCACTGCAAAGCAATCTCAGAGCAAACGCGTCTGCCAAGAAGCTCAGGTCATTCTACATCGCACCCCACTTAGCACAATTACGGTAGTCGCAGGGGTGAATCCAGCCACTCTTTTAGGGAGGGGGGGTGGTGGTGGCCAGAATTGACATCGAAGATAGGGGCATGGTCATAACCTATTTATTTTTACTTGCAGAAAAACTCCCTTGCAGCAGAAATACTGTTAATGTGTGCTCACCGCGGTTACACTAATTTGTCCCAATTGATGAAAGGAGGTGGAGTGCGAGCACTGATTTTAGTAAGGGGAGTGCAGAGAGTTCGGGAGGAGGGTGATTGCCCCCCCTTCCCCCTCTGGATCCGCCACTTGGTAGTCCTACGTGAAAAATTCATTTGTATTTTGTTAGTGAACTCGCAAAGATGAAGCCCTCAATGCCGAGCCCCTTTTCCGGCAGCGATGCGGTGACCGCATCAATAGCTCCGCAAGATAAAAGAGATGCACGAGAAGATTGGATTTGCACAGACAGCTCATGTTATGGGCGCATGGCACAAGGTCATCGAAAATGGGCAAGTTCTATCGCAGCACGCCACTTTGGTGGCTTATTTAGTGCGATGGAAGAAATGCTGTGCAGTGAATGCAAAACTGAAATAGAAGCGATGACGCGAGTGCCGTTGGTCCACAGCATATGAGAAATTTAAAGTTGTTCGAATTCTTCATAGAAATTGTTGGCCTCTATTATTGTATAAAGAAAAAAAAGACGTTCTTAGTCATAACCTTGGCGAATAAAGTGGCGTGAACTGTCGCAAGGAAGTGAAGTTGCGAGGCAGAATGGACTCCCACTTCAAATAAATATGGGAAGAGGAAGGGGGCTGCACGCCTGTTTTTGTTCCCACTCTCTTGCGGATGCCCATTCACAATGCAGCATAAAAAAAATGTTAGGCAGGGTGAAGGCAAGCGCAGAGAATACAAAATCTTTGAAGAAATCTGACATCTAAGTTCAATTGTGACAATAACTGAAGTGTGGCTATCGTACACGCATAGATGGTTTCTTTCGTTTAGGGCATAATACCATTGTGCAAAAAGACGTCCCTTAAAGCTTCTGTTTTTGCCGGACACCCTGCTGCCGAAGCAACTTTGAAGTAAATCCTGTGGCACAACTGGAACCTTGTATGAAATCAAAGAGATGCAAGTAACTCAAGCGGAGTGTTTTCGTCGAATGAGACTATTTTGGCCCATTCTGCCCAAATACATCTCAGCAGATCCACTTCGGAAAACAAGGTGACATTGTTAAAACCTTGTCAATATACGACGTGGCTTCATAAAGTTGAAAGTTGCTTCCTACGTAGCAAGCAATGCGGCACAGCTCTCGGCAATAGTACAGAGGATCTTTATTGAAAGGAAATCTCGTCAACAGAACTATTGCTTGGATGGAGCAGCTATGCATGCTTTTATCATAGAATTCTTCTCTCCTCTTCATTATTCAGTAAGGGCGATTCCTGTTATACTAATATATTTTCGTGGTTCCAACAAGTTTTGTGAAATCCGAGTGTGCAAGTAAGGAATTATATTGTGCTGCAAGCGCCTTATAGTTTGCGTGATAATATATGACGGATTCATCCATCATATATTATCTACGTATCTTCCCCACCACTCGCGTCGTTTGCATTTCCGCGCGTCTATCTTAGGCATTCAAAGTGGCATAACTTGAACCTGGGCCCGTCTAATTTAACTGCACTGTGAATAGTGGGGTAGAGCATGGGTCGTTTGCATAGCAAGCAGATGTTCTACCAAACGGCCGCGCTTCTGCTTGTCAAAATAGTGAAAAGAACTTCCTCTGTTTTTAAATAGAGCGAAATCGATTTCATACTTCACAAACACACACGTTATGTATAGATGTTTCGCAATGCAACATCAAGCATTGCAGTAATAAGGTGCGGTACAAGTGTTCGTTGTCAAAGTGCGTCAGATTATGTTATCATAATCATGGCTCCCTGTTTGAAAGCCGGTACTCACTACAAAAGGCACACACGCCTCTGCGCCTATTCTCCTAAGGCGGCGTAGGAGGTGCACAGGAAACTGGAAAAGGTTTCACGCACCAAGTGTTTGAAAAACGCACTAGGAAGAAAATGTCACTATCGCGTTCAACTTCTAAAGGCGAAGCTTTAGGGTCGCCTAATTTTTAAATGGGCTCTGCAACATTTTTTGAGCATGATCAGAAAGCACTGCCTATCGTAGTATAGGGTCTCGAGAACATGCGAGCGAAATAGTCTAGCTCAGCATGTGGTCTGAATTTCAAAATAAATTGAAGAGAAGGAAAAGTTGCTTTCTTTTCTCTCGGCAATTGACTGAAAAAGCTCACAAATCATTTGTAAAAACTCTTATATCTAATTGGCGCGTTCGGTAATTACAAGAATAATTGTTTGCGGCAGTGAATTTGTGAGGCAATGAGCTCTTTCAGTGTATATATTCTTTGGTTACTTGAAAACGTGTTTCAAGGCCTCTTGAAATAAGGTTTCCGGTTTGCAACGATGTGTAAGTGGTATTTTTAAGAGCTTGATCGGCAACTTTCTTTTGCTCGCGCCTTCTCCGGCGGTGGCGACGTCTGGCGTTTACACCGGTGTCGCCTGTGTACATTTCCCCGGTAGTAGCTCAAGTCTTCCCGTTCGGTGGCCCTAACAATGCTCTCTAGATGGTATGCCGCTATCCATGGCATCACGTTTTCATGACCCATGTGCTCGCCTCCCCGCGGCTACGCGTATTTTGTTCTCGTCGCTTCATAGGCACGGAACTAAGTGACAAGATTTTACAATCAGTGTTGTATACATAGGAGTACCGATATTATCCCAAGCTACCTCACATGCCTGCTCTCAACTTCATTGAAAAGCGCCTCATAGCTCCACGACTCTCATTTATGAGCGCAAGGTATTAAACTCACGGCAGCGGCCTCTATGTCATAAAGGGACAGGTGGTAAACCTGCCGGTGAACGTGGCCAACTTTGTGTGGTGCTGGCCTCGGGGCGTACTACGGGCCCGACAACGCTGTCTTCAATGTATACATCATGCGCCGGCTCGTTAACAAGCCTAAATACATAAATGGTCTTGCCAAAAAACGCGCCCTGCACTTCCAACCAAGCTCATATAACATCAGTTACTCTGTAAATATGGCTTTGACTTTTTTTGAACAAAAAAAGGCTGCACCAATTTAGGGAGGTTAACATGCTTTTGTGGGTTCTTATCAGGAATCCACATTTGGTGTCATGTTTCAGTAAGAAAAATATAAAGTGAAGCTTGTTTTCTTTATTTAAAATCAGTTGCGCAGAGGCTCTCGTGTTGTCAATATTTATGCTGGCAATGTTTGGGACCCTGTAGGTATATCACAAAGTCAGTCCATATGAGAGCCAGGTGTGTTAAGGGTGCAAGCACGTTGTTGGTTGCCTTTTGAAGGCCATCTCGATCTTAGATTGCTTGGATGCGAATTTACAGTATCTTTGGATTATTGCTTTAAATTAAATGACTTGTGGTGACAAGCCTCAAGATTGTAACGTGGTACCAAATAATAAGTTTACTGTATCTCTTTTTTTGCCGCATAATAAAGAGCACTTTCGGCTTCACTATTCAGGGAGTTTCATCACACAGAAGGGGACACGTGCGTCAGAAGCGCATCTGTATGCTTGCCCGGCAGTGAATTGGAGGGGATGAACCAAAGTTGATAGCTTGCACAAATCCCACCACTGTCTACACTTCTCCTTATAAATGCGCATGCGTTGCTAGACTTTTAATGCAACGAAATTCAGGGCGTGCTGTTTCAACAAACATACTTGGAGTCACCACCCGTCTTATGATGTACCACTCGGTGTTGTCACCGTTTAACATATTGCTACAGTATTTTACGTACAAAACAATATCCGACAACGCAGACAGGCGCCAACTTTCGACGCCTTGCGGCAGGCTTCACATCAGCTGCCATACGCACGTGGTACGCTTCAGCAACAATGAGTGAACTCTCGTAGATTTATCTACGCGATGTACACTTCGTGCCGTAGTGTTTGCTCATCCTGATCATGTTCGATATAATAAGGCTAGTCAGAGAAAACTGAATGATAAACACTGTATAATTAGACTAAATAATTTAAGCGTGTTTCCGCGCTGTGATATCTTGGGAGCATTGTAACCGCATGCTAAGCAAACTACAAATGTGACTTTTGTGATGAAAAAATTCTGTAAGTACGGATTGAGCAGGGCAACGAATTACTTAGTCAATTAAGCATTTTTTTTTTCTCTCTCAAGTGCCGGCGAAGAGAGTATGTGCGAAGTTTTTATGCTATTTTTTGCAATTTTGTTATTCCACAGGCAATGACAGGTGCCGTTGACACGTACGCCAAAGAGCCATTGTCCATAGAAGATGCAGTTTGCAAGCTTGACATCAAGTTCAACACTTTTAAAAGGCAAGAAACGTTTTATGTGAGATAAGCAATCGCAGTCTATAATTGGTTGAATGTAGCATGGAATGAACACCGCGCACTTTAACAAGGCGGATTGTGTTCTTTCTGTCCATCCTCGTAAAGGGAGCGTTCTGCTTGCCCCGTTATGATTAAAAAAAATGTTACTTTGAATGTTTCCTGCCAGAATGCCTAGATTGCTGCCGCTAACAAATTTTTTTCTCCCTTTCTTTCTTGCCACTCTCGTTGCACTTTATTTACGTCTCACTATTATGCAGCTATCTCATATTATGCCCATAACCTTCAGGGTAAATGCAGTGAAATAAACATAAAAGCAAACATGCTCCCGACTGTTGGTGTCCTTTAAAGCAGTTTTTGAAACGAAACGGACACTACTCGCCTAAACAAATGCATGCTTAAAGATAAAATGGTGTTTTTCATTATTTTAATTAGCTTTTAGGCAAGATTTTTCAATACGTTACCGTGACATGTCTCTCCGTTTTTCTGATTGGTGATATTAACATGAATTTATTACTAACCAATTATCTAATGCAATGATTCATTGATCTCATAGAATTTTTTCATTGCACTAACACCATTGATTCACCCACCATAATTACGGCAAACACAGAAATCTTGGTTAATCTGTGTATAAGACACGATGATATCGCAGATGTGTTTTAAGGAATTCTTACTTTTGAAACCAGTGATCATCTGCGAATTTTTTTTCGTACCACGGCTTAAAAGAAACAATTGTGCACATGATGTTCCTATCAATAGAAGAAATTTTAAAACTGAGGCGCTGGGCGCTTTTCGTCTCATGATCGAGACTATAGATGGCGAATGTATACATTTAGGCACATCCAAATTGATGCTAAACATTATTTTTGCAAAAAAGTCAAATATTCATATGACACTGCATTTTCACTAATTTGAGTTAAGGGTCACCGGAAATCTAGAAAGCCATAGAAAATCTAGAAAACCCGTGAGTTAAATCATAGAATTCAAATGACGGATAAATTATTTCATACTTTCCTTTCGTCAAAGATGAAAGAATATTTCGGGAATATAAAAGAATAAGGAACAAGCTTAACTCGAATCTTCGTAAAGGTCGCACTAAGTACTACAAAAATATGTTTGCTTCAAAATAAGCTGACACCACAAAAATATGGGCTGCAATCCGGAGGCTCAATGATTACTCAGGCAGTGTGATCCTTAGCACGCTTACTTTTGATAATGTAGAATATATTATTATTTCAATAGTAAACAAATTGAACGATCAGTTTTTACATGCGGGTATTGTAGATAACACTCGCACAAAAAACTCTACAAAGGATCTGTGTGAATATACGTCAGCTGAAAGTACCCACACTATGTTTCTTTTCCCGAGTGCTGATCAGAAAATCTTTAATTTATTCAAATGTCTGAAGCCAGATAACGCAGCCGGACTTGATGAGATCAAAGCAAGACTGATGATTCTTGTTGCTGATTTATTATGTGCTCCTCTTTGTCATATATGCAATGGCGCACTGGTGACGGGAATTTTTCCTGGTAATATGAAAATAGCCCAAGTAGTGCTTCTGCACAAATGTGGATCCCTCAATGACCTAAATAATTACAGGCCAATATCTGTGCTACCCGGGCCGTTTTCGAAAGTATTAGAACTAATTTTAAAGATCAAGTTGACTTGATTTCTTTATAAAATGATTTCTTTATCGACTATCAGTATGGTTTTCGAAAGAATAAGTCGACCGAAAAGGAACTCCGCACTGTTAACGAACAAATATAGGATAGTTTGAAAAGGAAACTATACGCTGTTTGAATTTTCGTTGATTTCAAGAAAAAAAAAAGCTTTTCATTCAATAAAGGACCACATTTTATTTCAAAAACTAACTTTACATCGAATCAAAGGTTTTGCCCTAAATTTTTTTAGTAGTTATTTTTCAGACGGAATTCAATTTGTAAGCCATAACACTGTAATCTCAGAGTTGAAGGAAACAAAGTGTGGAGTACGCCAGGGGTCCATTATGTGTCCTCTATATTTTATCATTCATATTAACGATATTGTCAACATACCACGTACACCTAAGAGGGTCCTCCACGCTGACGATACTAGTTTATTTTTTCTGGTCACTATTTAGTTCACTTGGAAACAGCGGTGAACAACTGGTTGCGTGAACTGCTGATTCGGGTATCTTCCTATCAACTTCAACTAAATATGATTAAAAAACCTGATGACGTGAACATTCCTCTTTTTTTATGCTTGCATTATTGACCGGGTATCGGCCTTCAAATTTCTGGGAGTATCAATCGAACAACATTTAAATTGGACTCATCATGTAAACAAATTACATACTAGCATTTCTAGATCTATGAAATGTTTTCTAAAATACGACATATGGTTCCGACTTGGCTAAAAGGTCAGCTGTATTATACTGTAATGCATCCGCAGCTATATGACTGCTTACTAAGCAGGGGCACCACAGGCAAAACAAACTTAGGTAGGATCACAGTCCTTCAAAAGCAAGCTGTCTGACACATGGAAAACCTCAGATGGCTTGACCACACAGCACCATTCTTCCTATAAAGCGCGATCTTAAAAATTGATCCGCTATATACCGTAAGACTTGCTACATACATACACAGAGAAATGCGAAAAGATCAATGCGCGTTTGCACACATGAATTTGACCACACGTGAGCAATATAGTTTAAGATACAGCCGCTTTGAACTATCACATTGTAGAAATAAAAACGAAAATACTCAACCACAACACCTGATATCTTTTTTTAATGAAAATCTGCATGTTTTGAATTATGTGAATGAAGCCATCTGAAGATCTGCGTTTAAGCGTGTCGTTATATTTCATTTCTTGTTCTGTGTGCCCTCATGAGCAGGGCTTCAAGTGTTATGTGGCGTACGACATTTTTATAAAAAAATAGTGCATTTGTTTAAATATTTTATGTGTATCACGAAGTGTTCCTGATATGATTGTGTCATTTTTATTTTCTCTTAGTGCTTTCGCTTTCCTGAATTGTAAGTTTATATTTGTTCGAAACTCTGTTGAGCAGTGCTTGGGTGGTAGGGCCATTATCAGGCAGTTATTCTGCCTTTAGCCGTATCATCCCTTGACTTGTAACATTTTGTGATGCAACAAGCTCAAATAAAACAATATTACTACTAATAATAATAACATTATTACTACAACGCTGTATAATGTGAATTCGGCTTGTCCAGAATGTAGGATTCCACAAACACATACACAATAGAGCACTGTAGCCTGCTACAAAAGCTCTTCGGGGGCCCTCGCTATACAATATTTTACTAACAGAAAGCCTTAGCATTCAGACGTACGTACGACTGGCGTCTTAACTTGCGAGTGCAAACTGGCTTTGACGGTTTAAGGTGGATCAATATTCTCGCATAGTTTCTGCCTCGCAGGAAATGTTAGGCTCATCATAGCGATGAATAAGCAGAGCTGGGTTGACGAGAGAGTAAGCTAGCACAATCTATGTTCTAAATCGGCACTACAGCAAAAAATGTAGCTTTGAAAGAACAACAGCCTCATCGAAAAAAAAACTATTACTCCATTGCGCTTACCTAAAGCAGAGAATAGCATGGCGCAAGTTACATGGTCAAGTTCGAGCCCTGATGGCCTTAAGGTGTCGTCATTAGTTGCAAGGTGTGTTCAACTGGCATTGGAGACTTGTTCTTCTCACAATCAGTATGATCAGCTGATACGTTCACGATTACATCATGTAATATTACCAAGACATACACTCGAGCCCGACCATATGGGAGTACTTCCGAACAGGACCATGTTTTAAAGTCAGCGTTCCAGGAGTTTGGGCCTGCCACTGGTGAGAATCTCTCAGAGAGAAGGCATAGATACTGAGAAACTAATCTTTACTCTGTAGATCTTTTTGTTCGGTGGGCTGGTGGCTTGAGCATGGGAGATATTTTTTGTAATAGTGAAAGACGAGCTAGTTGGTATGAGTGCATGGTAACCTATTTTTAGCACTGGTGTTATTCCCTTTTTTTTTCTTGGTCCGTGTGTCAGTGTGCACTAAAATTAAGTTACGATACATATCTTTTGCCCAAAGAAGAAAATAAAGGAAGTCAGAGGCCAAAAGAAAAAGTACTGTGCACATGGCAAGCGCACGGCATGAGTGGGCTTTATTTCGGAAAAGCCGCAAGTAATAGAAAGCGCGTGTGTGTCGCCGCTGCGTCGCTCATCAAGCATGAAATGAAAAATAGTAGATCCTTTCTGGAATCAATCGCAAGTAGACATGTTTTTGTATATTTATTCTTTAGTCCGCATTGTTATTGATTGAATCGTTCGCTCACATTTATTCATTTTAACGTTCATAATCTGATCTTTATTCCTGGAAGACTCGGCAGCTACTAATCACGAGCCGGACAAACGTGACCGTGCGTGCGATTGTAGGCATTTCCATCTTCGAGCAGCTCGATCACTGCCAGTGCTCCCAAAATATGTACGGCTACTTATAAAAAAAAACAGCTCGATTAGCTATATTTAACATCACCCAGAGTGACACGCCCCAAGAAGCTGGCTTGCCCTTTTCAGGCATTTGTATTTTTTTTTTTCACAGGAGGGGACCTACCCGCATTCATCAAGAGGACCCCACACAAAGCTAATAGAAACTACCTCTAGCCGTCACATGCTTTCTTCTATAACTCTTTCCCAGCCCAAGCGTGCAGGGTCACCATTTACTTCTCAGTTTGCTTTGTTAACGCGATAACTGCAGTAAAATGAAAGAATCTTGCTGTTCTCTTGAAAGCTGGCATTATTTATTTATTTATTTATTAGAATACCCTCAGGGCCCGTAGGGCATTACAGAGGGGGTGGGTACAACATTTATAACACACAAGAAAAAAGAGACAAAATAAAGAAACAAGTGTCAGATGCGCAAATCAGGAAGGCAACATAAGTCAACTAAAAATGTATAATTGAGAATTCAAGCACATACAAGACAAAGATAGATAATGGAAACTGCGTATAGTTACAAGCATTGCTGAGAAATTGCAGTCTTGAATAACAACACAGTTGTGAACAGAAAAAAGGTGTATGACGTCATCGCTGCGTACCGCATTCAAAGGAGCACGCCGAGTATGATGTGAGAAAAAAAAAAGCCAACACAAACGCGGAAGCCGACAGAGGTCTCCGGAACCCGAGGAGTAGGCATCAGGTGTTCAGTCAATGTGTACATCGGTACCCAATTTTGCTCCTCTGCAACCCACACCTGCGTACACCAGTTTCCCCAACACCAAATCGAGGAAAAATATTAGCTACCAAAACATAATAATAATAATAATAATAATAATAATAATAATAATAATAATAATAATAATAATAATAATAATAATAATAATAATAATAATAATAATAATCTCCGCGTATTACGTTGAGGCTTTTTTCCGTGTTTTCAGGTCAAGCAGTGATGTGAAGTCAACATGCGCATGGAAATTCGCATTGAAGATACGGCAAAAATAATAAACGTTGTATGTCTAACTATACGACGCATTGAACTACTCCTAGTTTTTTCGCGAGTGTGCAAAGAGTTCATTGGAGCATATTTGATAAGTTCACTTCCATATCGTCTTCGTTCTAGGAATCTTTTCATCTGGCTTATGCAGAAGTGCCGGCGGGCCGTCGCTCTGCGCGAGCTTTCCAAGGTAAGCTCTGTTATATAGAACAAGGGCCGTTGTCTATAATGCGATGAGGTAGAGGTTTCTAAAGGCTACGAGGAGTTTATTTTACACAATTACAACAAGGTTAGGTAGCTGAGAATGTTTTGTTCGTCTCTGTTTTCTGATCTCGGCACGGCCGCCAAGTCCCCCCGCACCAGCCCCTTTCTCTCTTCCTTTCTCTTTTTCTTGTTAGTTGTCGGCGTCGTCTGGTTCAACGAAGTTGCAGTGTGAGCCATACACACCAAGACGCTTCACGCCAACCATTAACAAGTTATTAATCTTCTTACCCGTGGCGACGGGATAATTGTAGCCCCCCCCCCTTTTTTTTGCAGGCGGTGTGCTTTATGTAGTAGAACGTTTGTTGGAGCTGTATGCGAGAACCAACATTCATGAAGGCCACGTACGTTGGCCCCTGTCTTGGTTGTTCTCGTATGGAAGGAATCTGGCGACTTCTGGTGCTATGCAGGATCGATTGAGTCCCTCCAATTTCATGATCTTCCCGAGCCTTGGCAACACCTCCTTATGAACGAACCAACAGTACGAAAAATTCAAATTCACCCCTCAGCGATCTGCTTTTTATTAGTTCCGACCGAGCCAGTCGTCGCGTTAGGGATGTTCGACTAAGTTGGGCGGTATTTTAAAACCAGAGGTGTCTTCTTTCATTTGTCTGTCATTCCACTCAGTGCAGAAGTGCAGCCATGTAATAAAAGTGTCAGAAACGTTTTGTGATGATATGTTTTAGAAGCATAGGGTGTTTCGATTTACTTTGAAGCTTTTAGAGCCTGAAGGAACTCTGTTTTAGATTAATCATAGCGGAGCCTCTGAGATCAGCACCAGCCGAGCGTTTTACAACATCATGACGCAGCTAAGCTCGAGGCCACGTGCTAATCATCATGGTCAGCCTGTACATTCTAGTTCGCCGTTCAGCCGGTGTTCGTCTTTTTTTAGCGCTTTCGCTTGGGCGAGCAGGGGCAATGGTAACAAGCAGCCGGAGCAACCCACGGGCGCAAACTGGGACGTATGCTTTCGTCTGCCGAACGGAACAATCGCGCTGCTCCGAGAGCAGGGATAATAGGGAGGAGCGTAATGTCAGGTGTGATATGACCAAATTTTTTCCGCATGCCTGCTTTGCGGACATGTTCCGACATGCTGCGCGCTCGCAAAGCGCGGAAAGGCAGACCGCCTTTCTGGGAATAAAAACAGAAGTGATGTGAAAAGGTCAAGTGACTTCTTCCGTGCTCTCTTTATCTGCGCCGGTGGTGGCAGTGCACCAAAAACTCCTCTTGGCTGTTCTGGGCACCAGAAAAGTGCCAATGAAACACAACAAAACACAACGCCCCTGCTCCAAAGACCAATGAAACACAACGCCCCTGCTCTTGCACGACCACTGGAAGGCGCCGCACCTCGCTAGAGCACTTTGAGCGCAGTTAGAAGTGCTCCTGCTGGCCGAACGAAAAGCGCTATTTTTTTGCCATCGCCCACTAGCACCCGAGAATGTGTGGTCGGCTAATCAGCTATTAGGGGTGAAGCTCCTAAAGCCGTGCGTCAATCCCACCTAGCTCGAGGTACGTGACCGACTATTTCGATTACTCACTCAGCAGGTACGGATGGGACGAAGAGACCGATGAACGGACGGATGGATGGACAGATGGAAGGACAAACGACGTATGGTTTAGCAACAAAACTGTCTGAAGCATCGCCCTACTAATTATGATTCACTCCGTTCATATGCTGTGATTTTTTTTTTGCTGAATGGTATAGGCACCCGACAGTGGACCAGAGGGCGCGACGAAGCTTTGAAGCTGCCCCAACGTTGCTGGTACAACCGCCAGGAATACCAAGAAAATGAAACTCTCGCTGAACGCATTGAGACGCTGACGTGACAATGCCCTTTTTGGCACATTTTCAAAGAAGGTTCCCTGGGCGCTGATATAATCAGCCGTGACCCCCCCCCCCCCCCCCCCGCTCACAACTAAGAAAGAAAATAATATGCACGTGCAAGTCCGGTTTTGCTGCGTCCACTCACTAGGCTACGCATTTGAAGACTCGGTTTTGCGGCGCCTACTCGCCAGGTTGCGTGTTCTTGCGTTGCCATCCGTTCTCGTAAACCGCATTGTCGGGTGCCTATACTTAAAATGTATGCCAGGACGTGCTATGACCAAGCTAAATATGCGAAGTCATGGTAAAGCCGATGTAATCGCGCCGAATCTTAGAAATACCGTGCTAATGAAGCTATGTAAAGCTAGATACTGGCTAACTAAAGCATGTTAGTTGATGAGCTAACTAAAGTACGTTAATAACGCGACTATAGTATTGAACGCGCTAAGTAGAATCATGATAATTAGCCCTTACCTATATAATGACACTTAGTAATCCGCTAATCATGATTACGTTTATAGCTCCTGTCTAATAATGAGCTTGCTAATAGCGCCCGGGATAATTTTCTCTTATTAAAGCCTTATCAATGAAGACAAGACCGCTCAATCTATGGTGGTGTTGCCACAGCCAATGAGTACAATAAAATTAAGACAGAGGTGATGCTGTCTACACTTAAAAGACGACCACGCACATGAGGAGACAACTTATTCAAAAGCTGCAAGAAGCTATAGGTTATCACCAGCTATCTATGACTCCCGCCTTGCACACGTAGTGTAAGCTGAACAACTTATTTTACATGCAAAGAAGGTGCCGCTTAGCGTTCACCGCATGAAACATTTGACAGTCGCACCGGCATCATGAAAGTCCCTAGTTGATGACAGGCCCTCTCAGAATCAACGAGTTTGTACCCGAGTTCATGCGTCAATCAGTTTGCTTGACATACGTCATGGTGAAGATAGGGTAGGCCCACCACTTCTGCTATTTCTGAAGAGCAGTACTCACCTCGAGAGGCACGATTAGTGTATCAGCTTTATCGTTCACATTATGCCTGCACACACGCACACAGAAGTAAAAGTGATATCACTACGTAGCTATGATGTCTCGCATTCAATTCTGCCACGATCATGACGGATCCAATCACAGCAGTGTTGCCGCAATGATGCGAGCGCCCCTGGTGCCCACAATACATGATAGAAGCGATACGAGCGGCACAATAGGGCTGCGTGTCTACCCTTGCTGCCTTCTAGCGTGGAAATTTCTATGCTGCAAGTGGAACGAAAGAGCTAGTCTAACAGAAGGCATACGCCCACGAACACGCCTGTGGGAGGTGCTTGTTGAGTTGGCAAAAAGATAGCTCAATGATGACGCTGCACTGTTAAAATGTTTACTGTGTGGCGGCCCTTACGTCTTCGCACGCGGTATTTCTTTGATAACCACCCCAAATGTCACTCATGCGTTTCTAACGCCACGCGCATTCTTGTAGCGATTTTTATCAACGCTGCTATCACACACTCCACACTGTCTTGATGTCATGGCCTGCGCAGAGTCTGGCCTGCTCAGAGTCGGCCTGAGAGGCTTGGGCCATCCTTCACAGCACCTTTGGTATGTGCAGATACAGCCACTGCAAGCTCGCTGCTCAGAGGAGCGTTCATAAAAATAGTGTACTAATCAGAAAACAAGTGCGGCGAAATGAATACACTTGTGAAAAACAGGCTAGATTAATGCTCGCCCGGCGTCATTTTTTCCTTCTTTGTTGCGTTTCTCTCTTATGTTTTTGTTCTCTTTGCTAAGCCTCTATAATCAAAAACATGGTGAAAATGCTGAAAAAAGAAAACCTTTCTTTAGTATGTAGTCTATGGCAGTGAAATATTTTTACGTAGGTTTTATGCCATTTACATGTATTCAGTAAGTCGCACAGTTTTTCTTGTCTACCATGACAATGTGTCAAATATGGCTCTTTTTGGGCACATTTTCTTTGTGCCTAAACTTTTATGTTTAAGATTCATTATTGGCTCTAATCTCTCTAGATAAACTGTATAAAACAACTAACAACATGCAAAATAAGACATTTTATTAAACAAAACAATTGTAATGTTAGATGTCATAAAATAATCTGCCCGTACTAATTGCTTGCTTCGAGTGCATGATAATTATACACAAAATATCAGGCTTTAGAGCTAATAATTGAATTCTTCTCATGCTGAGCAACATGTTAAAAAAGTTGATTGGACTGTGGTCATGAGAAACCCTAAAAACATGGCGTTCAAACAAGACTTGCCCAAACCTATATCTGGATGAAAACCATACAGCAGTAGGAAATGGAAAATGGAAGCTTGCGATGAAAAATTAATAAACAGGGGTTGTGTTTATCCAAAGTTTCGACATGCGGGCTAATCTTACTCAAGGATAGCTCAGAACTAGCGTTGTTCTACTGTTGGAGAAGGCTCGTGCGCTTGGCGAAACATCAGCTCGACACAACTCCTGTTTACAGATTTCTCATTTTGAGGAAAACGCTGTTTAGACATAGACATGGAACCTCCTCTATGGAGCAAAAGTATCAGTTTAAAAATGATTTATTCTATCATGGGAACTTGGAAATCATGGCCAATTCGAACATGTGGCTTAGGTAAAGTCCTCGAGTGCAATGCAATGCCAAGCAGCCAGTTCGAAATTTCCAGGAGACTGTACACAATACGCTGTTCTTAGTTTTTATTAGCCATGTTTTGCTCTCCAAAAGCGATTGTAAACTACCTTGTGTGAAACTATATCTAATTTTTTTTCTATCATGAAAATATAGAAACTGAACTTGTTAAAGCATGTGCCAAGAAGTTAATTAAAAAAACTTGGCGTTTTTTCAGCATCAACGATCTATAATGCTCTAGGATTACTAATTCCCATATTGCACCGAAATTTCCAAGACGCTTACATGAGAAAAGAGCCTGTCTCTAATTAGATTAGAATGGTTGTTGATAGTGTGTCTCTTTGGTCAAATGAGAGGTATTTTTAGTCTGTTTAAGCAATGATGAAAGAAGCACGATAAAGAAAGGTTCGTTACACTCTACTCCCAACTACTGACGGACCTTTATCGTGAATTGAGTGCGAATAAAATTTTCTATTCCACCACTAAGAACCATAGAGTTAATATTAACTCCATGCTAAGCACTGCACACATACGTGCGCACATAGTAAAGAAAATCTTAGTTTCACCAAAAGTGTGAAGGCGATAGAAACATATTCAAATGTATTAAGAAGCAAGGCTAGCACCTTTAGCAGCAATAATATTTGTAGTGTACATGCACTTGCTTAGTAACCAAGCTACCCACAGCGCTGCCATAGCTACAAATAGCAATGTTATGCGATGGGAGGCTGGCAGTCCATTCATTGAGATCCGATCTCACTTAGCTCTACAAAGTGCTGATGTAACAGAACACAGTCACTCCAGGTACACTTTTGCTACCGTTTTTTCGTGTTGAGAGCCAGAAGTCGCGCACTGATCAATCATGCATTACCGCGGAAATCATAAGCACCCCACCTGTTCAAGTTCGCTTCGCTGGAAGAGGAGCCTAGCGCAACCTTGCCTATATATATATATATATATATATATATATATATATATATATATATATATATATATATATATATATATATATATATATATATATATATATATATATATATATATAGGTGAGATCTAACAGAAAATAATGCCAAGGAATGTATTGGGGAAGTTGTTAAAACCAATAAAATGTAAATAAGAGGAAAGAAAAGTGGGTGAAAAAAGCACTCGCTAGGAGCAGAAATTGAACGTACGACCTTCGAATAACGCGTTCGATTCCTGCTCATGGCAAGTTAATTTTTCACCCACTTTTCTTTCTTCTTATTTACATTTCAATGGCTGTAACAACTTTCCCTATACATTCTTTGGCAACATTGTCTGTTAGATTTCATTATTATTGTGTCAAAACGCGGAAAAACGAGCCCTTAGGTATCCACATATATCCGATATATATATATATATATATATATATATATATATATATATATATATATATATAGTGGGAGTAATTTTTCAATAGGCCAGCTAGTCTTCGTGAAGGTATGGGATATGGCACAACGAGAGCGTTGTGCCTTTATATATATATATATATATATATATATATATATATACTGATAGATACACGTGAATGACGACGGTGAAAAGCAGTGCTGACACTCAATACAATTGCTATCGCAACAAAACCAGAAAAACTTATACTGCAGCACTTCAGTGTGCATGGCAATGAAGAGCGCCTATAGCGCATGAAGTGCCGGATGTGCTTTCCCGCAGAACCTGGTGGTCAAGGTTGTGGACGAGCTTCGGTCAGCCTGCTGGTTGCTTGGTGAACAGATGCAGCGAGAGGGACGGCTTCCAGATCCCTCAGTGCTGTTCTTTCTTGACCTTCTGGAGATTGACTTGTTGCTGCGCACGCGCTCTCCGAAGCTGGTCGCAAAGTAAGTCCCGAAGCTGGGAGATTGACTAGGGACCTCTTATGTGGGAACGGCACACCGGTTCATTACGAAGGTGATAAATTTTCACGTTTGCGAAGCAAGCGTACGAAGTAATTGTTAGACACTTTTACTGAAGAGATCGTTGTTTTTTCGACTGCAGATAAAGTGTGGAAAGAGGCTCTAGAAGGTCTGGTTGGCAAGAGACAGTTAACTAATGACAAGGTCAGGTGCATAGGTTGATATGTTGTATTCAGGATGCTTAGTAGCAGTAATGCAAGCAATCGCACTCTAGGTAATGGTGCATGAAGTGAAGGCCTCCCTTTTGTAACGTGGTTCAGGGTGCCCAAATTCTAAGGGTTGAGCCAGCAACGCTGAGAACAAGAGCCGTCTTTAATGCGCGACTCAAAGTAATCACGAACAGCCTTCTGGACGGCTCAACACGGCACCAACGCACACAAAAACCAGGAGAAAACGATCCCCAAAGACTGGCGGTCAACGTACATACGCAGTGAAACAACGATAGGATAGTCAGCTCGAAACATAACAGCAAGAAATGAAACTCAACGTAACTCACTGTAGAAAACGGGCTATCGGCTCGCCTCATAGACGATGACCCCAAAACCCGCAAGGCCTCACCTCTGTAGCACGCACGCAGGAAGCACCCCACGCGCCTAGCGCAACCCATCGCTCGCCTCCCACCGAAACGCCCTGCGGGCTTGTCTCAACCCCTTCTTATCCAACAGCCACATTTTACCGCTGTGATTTTTTCGATGCTGACGCTCCTCCCGCGCATGTGCATTGTGCATGAGCTCTCCTCGCCATGTTTCCACCATGCGTGCTGCAGATAAAGAAGGGCTCATTGGCGCGACACTCCCCGCAACACAAGGATGGACACTACACTGACTGTCATTGTCCACAGACTACTAAAGACAATAATGAACACTATTGAAAATACAAAACAGTAAACTAAAAAGGAGTCCCTGATTAGTGAACACAGTTCTTCGGGCGGCACGACACTTCAATATTATCGCTTATCCTTGCGGGCGCAGTTTGTCAGGCACCAAAACATATCACCACTCGTCGCATGTCTGTCATCAATTGCACCGAACGAAGCCTGCGCACTGTTGCGACCGAGGTTTGCGGCGCCGAAGATCCGGGATCAAGATGTCAAGGCAGGAGGAAGGTGAAGTTCGAAGAGAGGGTTTATTTACAGTATTTACATGGCACGGGCTCTCAGGCCAGAAGCTCTACATTGGAAGCGCTACATTGAAAAGGTTGTCTAATGAACAAGCTCCGCGAACCACACTAAGCAGCCCGCGAGGGCTGAATAAATACAGTTTCATCTCCTCAGATCGGGAAATAGGTTCATACGGCACTGTATAATAACATGTTCCAAAGCACACACGAGTGTCATTTACCAGAACAACCCCCAACAAACACACATACACAAATACACAAACACACAAACCAAACACGTGTATGGTCCCAGCGATGCTTCTTCCTTCGGCGAATCGTGCTTCAGCGGGGTGAAACGAGTTTGCCATCTCGCCACTCGCGCCGACCACCCAAGCTTTGTCGAACGGCGACCGCAGTCTAGGCGACTCCGAGGGGTCATACCTGGACATCTGGTGCTGATTTAAGTGTCAGTGGCCCATCAGTCAAAAACGCACAACATGGTGGTGCGACGTCCGTAATCGGCGGAAGCTCGACAATATGGTTTTTACCTGGGCACGAAGACGCCACGTGTCGCATCTCTGCGTAGACACAAAGGACAGTGGTGCTCCGTAGAATAATTTCAGCTAGGCAGCACCCAGTACACAGAAACAGCAGGGCATCTTGGCACTGCTCCTTATTTCCACAAAATGAGGCCGCGGCAAAAAGGTGGCCCGCCAAACGCAACAGCTCGTCCACCAGCGGGAAACTAGGAACCTAAGGCTGACCAGCCGTTGCCCGAAGCGTCGTTGTTTGGTGGCGTCATCCAGGCCACTGCCGAGGACGCAATACGGCAATGTTAAATCATCCATGGTCCTTTCCTCCCTGAAATTTCACAGACATACACACAACCATAGACACGGGAGATCCCCGTGCCCGCAGTTGAGACAAATCGAGTCCAAAAATGATGTTAGAACAACCTTCCCTAAACCATATAGCCAAAACGCATAGCACAATTGAAGCTCTTTTCTGAGCGCTCTCTGAAACTTGAAATTCCAACAAGAAGGTGAGCTTCCTATTGAACTGCTTTCAAAAAAATTTACTGTCAAGTAATGTGCTCTCCTTGACATACTTGAGGGCCAGCGTTAATAATCCGCTGTAACCTACCAGGCCTCATACTCCTAAAATAAAGTCGTTTGCTTCACGCCGTATTTTAGTCCCCAATATTTTGTGCCACCAAAGCTAGTCGTCAATTCACTTTGAGAAGACGAAAAAATAACTGTCGTGCCGCACCTGTATCAGAACATCTTCATTGCACGTCCGCAAACGCTCGTTACAGTGGTCCTGTAAGGATGAACTAGTGCTTCTGCCTTGCGGTTACTGTCTTCATAAAAGCTACGCATTAACTCTCGAACCTAATTTCCTTACTGACATCCACACCGGACACATGCGAAGAAAACATTAAAATTACAAACAAAACTTACGCATGTACCCTGAAAAAACTCACAAGTAATATGCTTGGGTCTCTTCACTCACTCAAAATTTTTTTCTAACGTTGCTCTTACTCGACAAATGCTCCTAGGCGTGTCGTTATGCACCCGCACAGCGCTCACCTTTAAAAGCAAACGATACACTGCTTAAGAAATTAACAAAACCATGAACTTGTTACCTAAGCGCGAGCTCCTAGCCGAAATACACAAAACACTTTTCAAAATCAGAACCAACCTAAACGGTCAAAACAGTACTTCAAAGGAAAACACAAATTCGCTAACGAGGCTTTCTAAACGCTCACCGCTGTCACTCAATTTTGAGACGAACGCGGGGCGGTCGAGCCCTGTGGGCTTTTCTTGGCGAATGGGGGAGAGAACGATAGCAAAACCCATTCATTTCGCCTCCGAGCCCCGCTAAGCTCCTCGCTGTCAACCAGCGTTTCTCCTCTCGCTCAGTTACTTCTAGCGAGCTAGCGACCAGGAGCTTCCCTGTTTCATCAAACGTGTGGATACGATGACGGCAGGCCAATCGTCCCGTTGCTTTTGTCTGCATTTCCACCGGACGCACCCTTCCTTTTGTCCTCGTCCGGTGGCTCGGACGCATACAAGTGTACTTCGGCGCGGATGACAAATACCTCGTTTGGCTTGATACGCTGAAACGTTTACCGGCTTTCTTCAAGGGGGTTGTGCGCTTTGTCGCACTCCTGCCTTTACGACACCGCTTTCACTTACGCCTCTTCTTGAGGTCCGTTCCTGACCCTTCTACTCACCTCTCTTGATCGCCAGCACTCGGGCTGGTTTAATTAGCTGTCTTGCCCGCACAGTCTGAATGATTTGCGCACTAATCATCTCCCTCACTCTCCAGACTGGCAGACAGCTTAACACGTCTCGTAACACTGCAGCTGTTTTCTTCCGAAGAAACTAACTCGCGTTCCAGGGAGCTAACTAAAACTGCACCGTATTTAATAGTCTCTACTTTCGCTTCATCTCCTGATTTCACCCAGGTTTTCCTGGTTAGCGGGTCAAAACCCTCTTGGACACCGCATTCAGGATTCACTGTGGTGACACACCCACGTGAACTAAGCTCAACTACCTGGGAGTTGTCCACTACTACTCCACCCTGCACTACTTCCGTGCACTGTACTAGCCTGATGCTGGTGTTCTTGCCTACCGGGTTGAAATCTCCTTTGACTACACCGGCAAGATACAACATTGACACACTCTCACGTTGTGTCAATGCCAGGTCGTCTACAACTATCCCAGCTTTTTCACTAGAATTCTCCTGGCACAGCACTTCACCACATTTATTCTGGCCTTCGTCAGGCTCTCCTGTTAGCGCAGCTTTTTCGCTGCTGTCAACCTCGGTTCATTCGTGAACCTACTGCTACCCTCGTAGGTGCTAGCTTTTTCTGCGGCTTCGCCTTGCACAGCACTCGGTTCATTCGTGAACCTACTGGTACCCTCGTAGTTACTAACTTTTCCTGCGGCTCCAATTCACACCACACTCAACTGTTCCTCGCACTTCTCGTGTGCTACCTGTACTGATTGACCCCTCCTCTGCTTTGCATCTAACCTGTGTTCTAGTGTTGCACACTGGCGTTTCAACCTTTTCTCATTCTCAGAAAGTTCTTGCATCGCCTTCCTGTATTTTTCCTCTCTTTTATTGGTTTCTCTATCCATTCCTGTTCCAATAAATACATATTCTCAAAGTGTTCAATATCGGCCGTGTTACTTTTACTTTCATGAATTACTTCACGTAGTATAGAAGCAGGCATACCATCCCCGAATTCTAGGTCGAGATCCCAACACAGATTCAGCAGGTTATCTGTCGTCAATTTCATCACGTCCATGGTGAGTACTTTGCTATGACTCAGCTGTGAAAAAACAAAAACCCACCAGCGTTTCAATTCTGGGTCTGGAAAAATGGAAGCCTGGTAAATCCCACAGCGGAGACCGAAAGCATAAGCACACAAGTTGAACACAATGGCCTATCTCCCTCTCTACACTTTTAATATTTCTTTTTCACTCCTCTGCTCTTCAACGCCAAGAAACTTTCCCCGCAACGTACCCTTACGACTCCCGAAAAACTTACGTATCTACTGAATTACCTAAGCTTTATTGCTTATTATTGTTGCTCAGTTAATCATCAAGTGCTGCTCTGTACTCAAATGGCAACCACAGAGCTAGGCAGTTGTTCGTTATATGTATCTTTTAACTGGTCTTGGCTAAAGGACTCAATACTTCTCAAGCACAAAGTCAGGCACGCAATTGAATACGTGTGGTCGTGGTATGCTGCATCGATCCCGCCGAACTCCAGGGCTAGGGCTTTCGGCTGAAATCCGGTTTATATCGCTTTCAATC